CGAAACAAAGACGAAACGACCGTGCGCATAACCCCATCTTCGGTTTATTTCTTGTTTATTCTTTCTTCTCTCCTCTCCTCTGTCTTCTTCGTCACTCTCTCTTCCTATTTTCTATCCTCTCTCTTCCCTTTTCTCTTTTCTTATCCCAGTTCCTTGGTTTTCCTTCAGCCACAAACCGCAAACACCAAAACATTTTGACTTTTATTGGAGACTTGGATAGTTAGCAAGGTTGCCATATTTTCTTTCTTTTTATTATACTCTTCTTCTTTCTTTTTCTTCTTTCTGTTTTCTCTTCTTCTCGTTTTCCCTGTTCTTTTTTCTCTTTATTATACCTCTTCTTCCTTCTTTTTTCTTTCTGTTTTTTCTCTTCTTCTCGTTTTCCCTGTTTTCTTTTCTTATTTCTTTTCTTTTCTTGTTGTTGGATGTCGTGTATCTCTGTAATCTTCCTTCTTTCTTCTTTCGTTTTTTTCTTCTTGTTTTTCCTGTTTTCTTTTCTTATTTCTTTTCTTTTCTTGTTGTTGGATGTCGGGTATCTCTGAAATCAGAAACGTCGAGAGAAATATTATTATCAATTTACAAGACCTTTAGTTTCTTAAAAAAAAAAAAAAAAAAAAAAAAAAAAAATTAGAAACACTGTCTACCAATCATCTAGTCATACTGTCTGTCTGTCATTAGTCAGACAGTCATTCAGCCATACTTTATAACTGCCTTCACTCACTCACTCCCTATGTCAGTCAGTCAAACATTTAGTCAAAGAAAATACTCGTTTATATTTGGCTATTTTGGTTGTATAAGTAAATATGTCAATCACTCAATATTTGCATAGCCATTTGCCCATCTCCCTATGTCTGTGTTTGTGTCTGTGTCTGCTTTTCGTCTCTGTTTCTCTCTCTCTCTCTCTTTTCTCCTCTCTCTCTCTCTCTCTCATTCTCTCTCCCCCCTCTCTCTCCATTCTCTCCCCGACTTCTTTCTCTCCTTCTCTCTCTCTTTTCTCATCCCCCCCTCTCTCTCTCTTTCTCATTCTCTCCCTCTCTCCCATTCTCTCCCGCCTCTCTCTCTCTTCTCCTCCTTCTCTCTCTCTCTCTATTTTTTCTCATCCCCTCACTCTTTCTCTCTTTCTCATTCTCTCTCCCCCCTCTCCTCTCATTCTCTCTTCCCCTCTCTCTCTCTCATTCTCCCCCTCTCTCTCATATTGACTTCCACGCATAGCAATCAGTCCATCAGCCTATCTATCTATCAAGTCTTCAACATCTAGTCTATCAGTCTATCTATCTCTCTATCTATCTTAAGTTCACCTAAATTCTTAATGGCAATTAGGCACACGTGTACATCTGCATTTGTGTATGTATGTATGCAAATTTGCTTGCCTGCATACTTACATATCCAGTTGCGTTGGGGGGGGGAATATTTGTGCGTGCGTGTATGTTTATCTACATACTTACATACCGAATTCCGTTGCAAAAGAAAAAAAAAAAAAAAAAAAAAACAATAACAACAAAAATAGGTATTTGTTGTTTATTTGTCTGCATTTCTATTTCGATTTCGGTTTTAAAAGATTAACAAATGAATCGAAATACAAAATTGATAATCGTAAACGCGGAATAAAAGATAAGAGATATAGAGGGAGGAAAAGAAGGAGGGAGAGAAAGGAAAGAGGGAGAGAAGGAAGGAGGGAGAGAAAAGGGAAGGGAGGATCAAGAGAAGGAAGAAAGATGGAGATGGAGAGGGAGGGAGAGAGAGAGAGAGAGAGAGAGAGAGAGAGAGAGAGAGAGAGAGAGAGAGAGAGAGAAGAGAGAGAGAGAGAGAGAGAGAGAGAGGGAGAG